GGCCATTATGTGAGCCCCTCTGGCTGCATGGGGCCAGGTAGCATCAGTATGCAGACGATACCCAGTCGTGTATCTCACCCTCTGATCAAGCAGGTGGATGATATTATGGATTTGTTCTGACGCATGAAGGCTGTTAAGGGTCCATTTGTAGGTTGTGTGATTGTTGTGTTGCTTCCTTAATGTTGGTTCTCAATACTTTTGTTATGATTATTTTCTCACTTTGTTGTCTTAAATTTATTTATTATTGTATATTGCCTAAAAGTTGCTACGATGATTGAAGTGGCTTATAAATTGATTAAATAAGTAACTCAGTTCTTAGGTGATCTGATTGGCAGAATCTATCTTGGGTATTTAATTTGTGATCTTTGTTATGTCACTCTTTATTTTGTTTTTTGCTGTTGTATGCCACCCCGAGTCTTTTGGGATTGGGGTGGATTATAGCGATTGCTAATAAATAAGCAACCAAGCAAACTACCTTTAGTCTCCATTTACTTTGCTGGATCAGAGTAAAGATTCATCTAATCTGGTATTCTGCTCCCATCCTTGAGTGAATTTTATTTTTTAAAAAAACAAGGCTACAGTTATCTGAGGCTCACAGAAGTAGCATCAGACAAGGCCAGATTTAGGTAGGAAGAGGCCTGGTAAAACACCCAAATCTCTGCAGGCAAGGTTGGGTCAGGTTACAGAATTCAATCACGATAGGCCAGGGCAAGCCAAAAGCTGAAACCAGAACCATGGATAGCTCCAAGCGAGCCTCGGTAGTTGAAATTCTCTTTTTCTATGCCAATAGGAGAATGAAGTCTCAGCTAAAGCCAATTGAAGCTTTAATTAGGCAGCCATGAACAGTAGCGTAATGAGCTCCATTCCCTCTGGAGGAGTTAACTGGATTGTTAAAGGACTTTCCCTTGACTCTGTATTCTCAAATTTCTGCAAGGCTGAAGAGATGGAGGTTATATTAGGGATTCTTTCTCTGGGTAGAACTTCAAGGTTTTGTTTTCTGAGGTGCAGAATAAGGGGTGGATTAGTCTTCTCCCCAGGGAGCAGTCTGAGCCACATCACCTGTGTCTCGTGCACCATGAATGGTTTGATAGTTCATGGCAAGAATAATCCTGTCTTTTAAGCAGGTGTTCTGCCTATCAGCTACCTTTTTTTAAAAGGTTGCTTTTTTATGTATGTTTATGGATGTTATCATGAAAATTTTTCCTCAAAAATGATAAGTAAAATGACTGCCTCAAAACGCAGTGGTTTTTCTCTTACGTTTTTCAGCTTCTAGGAAGCTTGGATTTAATTTACTTTGCCGTATCCCTTGCTCTAGCTTATGAGATGAAAGGTTGAGGCATATAGACTGAAATATTTTTATTATTTTATTTTATTGGCCATATTCAGTGTAATGTTATTAAAATAAGAGCACACACTAGGTTCTCTCTAGTATTATGTGAAATGTATTTTTCAGGTATTGGGTTCTCTTTAAAGCTGGTGGGACTTTAGTGTGCATGTGGAAGAAAGTAATGTCAGTTGTATAACCAATAACTATTATAATAAAATAGCTGTTAAAAGGTTTGAGGAAATGGGTTCCTTATGCATTATACTCAACTCTTGATAGTTATCTGACTACTGACCAATATGCTATTAGAATGCTGAGTGAAAATCGGTAAGTTTGGAGATGGTGTGGATAGCAAGTAGCCTAAGACCCATGTTGGTATGGTAGATTGTTAATGGTTTAATAAATATATCAGGCATCATCTTGAAGAAAGAAAGAGAAGCAAGTAGTGGAATTATTTGAAATAAAAGCAATTTTTTTTCCATCTGACCTCTTCCCTCCTATTCTTATTGTTCTGAGGACTCATTAAAATACAGATAATTTATTTTGGCTTTTGAGAGGGACCGCAGTGGATCTATGAGATCTTTAAATTCAAGTTGAATCTTGAGAAAATCTAAATTTTTGAAAGATGATTCCCAATGTCACAATCCTGAAGACCTTTTTTTTTTTTTAACATGGTTTGTTTGGGTGGGAAGAGTTGCATAGTAAGAGTGAGAGTTTTTGTATACAGACAGGAGCAGCTTAGCAACCACAGCTGTGTCTATTGCAAGGATCCAGCATGGAGAGACAGCTTTTGCTTGTTACCAGCTGGCTGCTGTTTAAGGAGGGGAGCTTCTTTTCTCAAGTCTTCTGAGATATAAGGCACAATATGCATGTTTTATAGGATTAAAATTAAAGAAAAACCTAAAGAAGAAACATGTGGTCTTCTTCCATGAGCTTCTAGAGCTGTGGATAGGACTCCCCTAGGATTTGTGGGGCAACGATACTATCTTGACAATATGCCTTTCGAGACTCACCCATTGCCTGAGATATGACAGTTGGTTTCTAAGAAGAAAACCTTTTTAGCAGTAGTGCTGTCTGTGAAGTGTTCCCCATAAGGCTTCCCTTATGCCCATTCCATCACCAAAGTCCTCCTTTATCTGGATTTTTAAACCTGGTCAATTACTTACAAATATTTCTTTACCTTGCTATCTCACATTCTTGGTTTATTTGATCATTACATACTAAAATTTTATAATGTTTTGATTATTTGTTTAAACCACAAGATATAAATCTTAATAATGATGTGTAACTTACCATCCTATATTGCAGAGTCAGCAAATGGGAAGACAGGCTTTCTGGGCAGTGATGTGGTGTCTGGGATTCCCCTGTACATCCTTACTCCTACCCTTAGTGTGTCACTACTTACAGGAGACCCCGGTTAGTTCATACTAAAAGTCTATCTAATCCAGCATCAATCCAGATGCCTCAAGCAGCACCCAAGGGCTTTCCATCAGTTGGCTTTTAGAGGGAAACCACCTCTATTCTCATAGTTATTGACAACATAGTTGTGTCATATGTGGATACAAATGCATATCTGCACACAGAGCCAGATCCAAAGCTCCCATTCCTTAGTTAGCATCTAGAGAGACTATGAATGGAATCCCAGCTGGGACTATGCAACTGAAATGGTGGGGATGTACAAAGAGGGACCAGCCAGAAACTGAATAAAAGCAATCTATTCTCTTTTACTCCCTATCTTAGCCATAAGGGTTAATAAGAGTATTGTTATTAATTTTATTTACTTACCTCCCTTCTGACCAAAGAAGGCCCAGAGCAATGCACAAACATACACTCCCCACCATAAAAGGCTACTAAGAAATCAATAAAACAGTAAACGTTTGGTTTAAAAATGAAATGTGTTCAGCGACAGTCTAATCCTGAAGTTATTTGATTGACAAATGTGTGTTGTAATGTTTGTAGAGGTACGTAATCAATGCTCTAAATTCTATACATTAATAGCAACTTCTCCGAAATATGGATCCGTGTATAGCCAAAATATTACAATCCATGAGTAATTTCAGAGAAAATTCAAGATTTACAGAAAAATAAAACAAATATTTAGTATTAAAAGAAAATATAAAGGACGGAAATGTTTGAGAATAATAAGCATAAATAATGATTTATGATTGAAGAAGGGGAAAGAATGGAGTATCCTGAAAGAATGTATGGATGATACTTTGAAAAATAATCATTTGTCCTACCTTTTTATATAAATTACTCTTTCCCTACATGGTAATCTCCAAATGTCTCTAACCCCCATAATTGCCTTTCAACTTGGTAATTATGGCAATTAAGTCCTTTACATCTGAGGTAGCCGATTTTTTAAAAAATGATATAAACGCAAAGGGATGTGGAAAATGTTCCACGCATGAACCATTCCATGCATGGAACAGCTGTTTTTGATAGTCTGTGCCAAACCAAAATGCTGTTCTGGATGTTTTGGTCTGTATATGGAATGAAATGGGCGGGTTTTTTCCCCCCAATTGTAGCTATTCTGGGCAGAAGTGGTAGAGTAAAAGGAGGAAAAAACACGGAACATCAATGACAGTGGCTGAAAGAGGGAGGGAAAGAAGGCACTGGCAAAAATGAAAAGATGGAGAGGCGAATGCGAGATGCCATGCCAACAGCCTGTTGCTTACTGCTGAGACCATAACAGTAAAGGACAGGTGTAAAGTCCAGTATTTCGGTAGCGGCTGAGGGGTGGGAGGGAAGCGAAGGTGCTGGGATGATTCAGAGGCAGGTTAGCTGTACTAAGACATCAGCAGATGAAAGGAGACTGGAGGGAGGGAAGAGGAGGCACCGGGGAGATTGAGGAGCAAATGGGCTGTGTTGCAAACTTGTTTCTTGTGAGACCAGTGCAGTAAAAATTGGGTCTCCCAACCAATGCATTGGTGGTGGTAGCTGAGGAGAGGGAGGGGAAGAGGGAGCTGCAGGCTGGTGGAATGTCCAACAGTGACAGCTGCTGAGGGAAGGAGGGGAGGGAAGGTATATAAACCTTGTCCTATTCACCCCCCAAAATAACTTTGGGATCCCTCCATGGCCAGTCTGAAATGTTTCAGTAGAGCTTCCAAAACACATTGGTTTATTGTGAGTTTGAAACATAATGCATTTTACATTTCTTGCACATCCCTAATGCAAAGCCTATGTACTACACCACTGTATACTACAATATACAATTTAATTATTGCAGACAACAGTTCAAGTGGGTATAGTTCAGCACTGAACCAGTTATAAGGTTGAACTTTTTACCCATTTTCCCCCTTTCCAACTCTAAACTTCTCTTTATATATGTAAAGAATTTACCTGGCTGACCAACTCGAACAATGCAATTCTGGGTGGCTTACAAGAAACAACCAGTATAAAAATGGCAATTAGCAATAAACAGTAATAATTCATAATAAGCTACCAAGTCTGTTCATTAGTACCTATAGCCTTGCTATAATATCAGCCCTGATAGCAATACCTCTGGCAGCCTGGGACTGAACCTGAATCTTGCAAATTAATTATGCTTAGCACTAAGTTCCAGACCTTCTCCATCCACTGAAAACTTCACATGAAGCTATCAGTGTATCTCTTCCTAGTTAGCACTAGATAATGCTCTCTCTCTCAATTAATCTCTCAATCTTTTGTTTTCTAGTTACAGCTACAGAAAAACCAGTATTTGCAGTTGGGGCAGAGCCGTGGCCAGTACTATGGAGGATCCTTGCCAAATGTTAATCAGATTGGCAACAGCGCGATGGACATGCCCTTCCAGGTGAATTTTGCCAGCTCTGCTCAGAAGAATAATGGGAGCATTGGAAACCAGTGTCTGTGTCCTGTACCAAAAGTTGAAGGTGTCTGCATAAATTATGTGTCTGTGAATAATGAGTCTTTTGAGAAAACAGATTTCATACTCTTTTTACAATACCAGTTTCCCCAGAGCTGAGGTGGGTAAGGGCTTGTCGCATGAGTTATCTCCCTCCAGCAGCCTCACTCCAAGATGGGACATCCAGTAGGCTGTGTTTTAAATTCTTTCTCTGTCTTTTCCTTAGACTCCATTTCAGCCATCTGGGTTGGACACCAGTAGGACAACTCGACACCATGGCCTGGTAGACAGGGTATATCGTGACAGGAATCGACTTGGCTCACCACACCGGCGCCCTCTCTCTGTGGATAAGCATGGCAGACAGATATCCTTTGATTTGATAAAATGGCATGAGAATCTAGGAGGAGGGAGTAAGCAGAAATATTCTTAGATCTTTAGGTGATTTTCAGTAGATGCAGTAGCAAGGGTTTAACAATAGTGATGATAAAACCCTTTTTACTCTCCTCTTTAAAATAGGCTGATTAAGTTGGAGGGGAGGAAGTATAGACTTCTGTTCTGCTAAGTATACGTTTCAAGGCACCTTGTTTTTTCATCAGTCTTCTGCACTGTTAGTGGACATTTAACTTCTAGTCACTAAAGGCTAGTGGCTTTGCTCTAGCTATAAACTGATTCTACAGTGTTGTCACCTGGCTAATTCTGATTGGCTATATATCATCGTTGTTTTATGTGATCCTGACTGGTTGGGATCACTAAGTGAACACAACAGCCCTAGAATAAAAATGGCATCATATGAGCAACAAGTCATCATTTGTTTCCAAAAGAAGAGAACAAACAGGACAAAAAAGTGTTTTTCGATTTCTTGAGAATAAAAAGCTCTAAAAAACATTTCTCCCTTGACTGTCTGATTCACGTGGACAGCTGTCCATATGGTACTGTCTATCTGTCTCCTCCTTCAGATACAAGCTGGAGAAGGTATGTATACACTAATTTTGAAATACAAAAGTTTAACTTTTCAGTTTACACAATTATCTCTAAAAGCAGATCTTTGGCCTAGCAAAAATTATATTATATTAATTATATTATTACATTATTTATTATTTTGTCCAATAAATATTTATCTATTTATCCATCCATCCAATTTGTACAGTCACCCAGAGTCATTCGTTTAGATGGGTGGCCATATAAATTGGATAAATGAATAAATATTTTTTTCAACAAAGCAATTACACTGCTTAATTATTGGTTTAACTGGTTATATATGTGTCTCTGTGTGTTTAATTGTATCCTTCTTATTGTAAAAATGTTAAAAGCTGGTGGACTGCCAATCCTGGACCATATAGTAATTGATTAAATTTACCAAGAGTTTAAATGAGGCACTGCATTAAACAAGAACCCAGATTAGAACTGCTGATGGTTTACTGCTTCAGCTGACTAACAGCCATAATTAGATCTGGGGTTGAAGTGGGGGCAGTTGTTGCTTCTAAAGCGTATCTGTAATTCTTAATTTAACAGCATTCATGGAAATTGGTATCTGTCTCCTCACTATTTCTACTCTAAGGCAGGTAACAGTTACTATAAATAGTTCACATAGTCAAAACAACAACATTAAGGTAACAAAAAAATTAAAACCACAGAAGCAGAATGAAATCATTTTAAAAGTCTAGGAAGTTAACCTCTCCCTGAACATCCTCTTCCCCATTATGTAATCTGAGGAAAGCATTCCAAAGATACAGCATATCAACCACAGGTAGAATGGTCACGAAGGACATCTAATTCAGTCCACTACCCCAGGCAAATTATGCAATTCAGGATGCATCTTCCACGTCTTCAGTGTAGCCTCTGTTTAAATATCTCCAGCGGGAAAACTCTCCAGCTTCAGTAGCATTTGTCCCATTGCTGCTTTTAAGATGCTTCTTTAATCTTCTTCCCAGCAAGGTCCCCCACCTATTTCCACACAGTTCTGCCTTCTGAAGTAATGGAGAACAAGTCTCTTGTATCTTTTTCATTACAGTCCTTTGCATATTTGAAGACAGCCATTATGTTTCCCCTTAAATGTTTCCAGGGTAGACAGAAACAGAAAAGGGCCTGCTTCCTGGTTGCCATCTGCCTTCCCTCAAAAGGCAAGGAATCACTTCAGAAGTCACTTTGAGGATGATTTCAGTAGAAGGGCAGGCTTATATACAGTGCATTCAGAAAGTGTTCAGACCCCCTTCACTTTTTTCAATTTTGTTATGTGGCAGCCTGATACTACAATTGTTCAAATTCATTTTTTTCTCATTAATCTACACTCG